ATCACATGGCGACCACCAACGAACATTATTCCTTCTTGTCGCATCCGGTCAGATGCCTTTAGGACTAAGAAACGGTGCTGAGGCAGCGAAGGTGAATGACGGGCAGAAAGAGAAAAAGTTATCAATTTTCGAAATATGCAGTGTTCCGCACGTCATGGTGATCTAACATGCTTACAGCCTGACAGGAATCTGTTACCTACTTATGCTGATTCGGTCCTCAATTCAGGTTCAGCATGAAAGCCGATTTTGATGCCAATTTTTTTCAAATTCTGTTGCGTGAATCACAAGCATGGGGCTGCTTGAAAAAAACGTCAGCAGATTTCGAACTGTTTTCACTAGATGTAGGCATCAGTTATTCATCGACATATAGATTACCTCACCTGAATGCCGTTGTAATAGAACAGGACCACGTCTCTTGGTCAAGCATATCGAGGAATAAGCAGTGGACCGGTTTTACCCATGACTACGAAGTATCATTTGATCAAAAATGACTTAAACCGGGGCAAAGGCATCAAAGTCAAAGTTTGGAATAGAACTTTGAACTGTGAGCGGTTCAGTACCATTAAGAGGTTAACAGATCCACGTAATTCTGGAGAAAACTCGATCCAGCACCTGTTCTTTGAAGTTCAGATGCTGCAATAATTTCATTGAAATGTGCAGGAGTATTGTTGCTCAGGTGCATCAAGTAGGCATTTCATACTGATGGCATTTAAAATATATTCGTTCAATACTATGGCATATCTCACTCATATTTCATGGAATTTTGTCCCACTGTTTTAAATGATTCTGATAATCAATGCTTCTTGTACTCCTCAGGCATATTTTAACGTAACTCTTGGTCTTGTATCAACCAAATCAATGCATCGTTCTTCCGTTAATATGAAAACCGTTATTTGCAACGATCGGCGACCAGAATTATGCAAAACACACAACCATTCAATTTCAAGGCTCTTTGGGTAGAATCTGCGTAATAATTTTGAGAGATCCTCATTCAGTTAGTCCCGTTTCAGTGGCCGCTTATCCTTTCGGGTTGCGGAGGCAGACAGCATCTCCAATGCTTCCTATCCTATGCCAAAGTTTGAATCTTGGCAGAAGATAACCAGGGCTTGGAGCAGAGTCATTCGAGACTTTCTCCGGTAAATCTTGGTTGTTCGTGACGTCTTCGACCGGTCAATTGGGCAAGTAGTAGCTGTTTCGTCTTTATATCTGGAAGCATTCATACCAGACGTGCATAAGCTATCGCAACTGTGACTTCTCAATCTGAAGAAGCAGTGGCTGTACACCATGCTCTCCAGGATGTCTGTATTCCGGATCATGTCGAGACGAATGAGCCCAGCGATTCATCGCATAAACCCCATTTCAGTTGCTTTTTTTCCAAAATAAAAGTTGTTCACTCATGGCTCATAGCTCATGACTGTAAGTGAGTTGCGGCGGGATGCGAATCGACCTTAACGTTGACTCGTCTCTGCCTTAATCACAACGGCTTTTGCTGGTTCACTCTGAATGCCACTGATCATTCCAGTTCACCGGTCGATGTCTTCCGTTTATTTTCCATCACCAGCACACACAGCTCCTAGATACCATAATCTCTCGACCTGT